GAGAACCGTCCAGGGGCAACGAGGTGAGCCCTTGCCCCTGACCAACGCTTACTTCCCCATACAGTAGCCTACCTGCTTGAAGAACACGCATTTGCTGGGACCAATGGTGTCTTGGGCAATGAGTCGTAAGTTGCATCTTTGGACTGCCAACCTTCCGCCTGACGCTGCGGTGAGACAAGACCTTTTCAACTGTCCTTGAGCTTTTCCCGCGTCTTCAAATCGAGATATCTCGGTGGTATATCCTCGATCAAGTAACCACACGGGAGGATACGGTCTCTTTTCCTCATCTTGGCACCCCAATGCGGTTTACACCTACAGCACCGAACTATCGATGTCACGACAGCGATGGCGCCCAGCTGAACCACCAGCTGCCGAGATACCGCATTCGTCTTCTGGGATATTGCAGCTGCGTAATCCTCCCCACCCTCAAGGTAATGCGTTGTCGTCGTCTCATCTTGCCCTGAAGTTGGCACCGGCAAACATTCGGGTAGAGGGCTTTGAAGTACACAGACAACTTTCGTTGCAGCCGTAGCATCGGCAACTACGGCATTCGAAGATATTTCGAGCACGTCGCAGATTTGTCCAACATGCCGATCACGCAAAACGGAAGTCGGCTTTTAAGCATCATCCACAACCTTACTTTCGAGATCCAAGACCATGGAGCCAAAAGCACTAGTAAACCTACTTGTATCCCGCACAGTCAAACACAGCCAGAAAGGAGTCAGTTGGTTAACCTAAAGAACATGTCGTCGAATACCTTCCTCATCAAGGCCTACCTGGCCGTGGCATTGCATGCTCATTCTGCTGTTTACTTATCTCTCGCAGGACACATTGGTCAACAAGGCTGTCATATCTGAGTCGGCTCGCCAAGACGCCCTTGCGCTGTCAGGTACGACGCGAGTCCTCCTCCACACTTGCAGACTCCACGATCCTGTCAGATCGAGAGAATCAGACGAGTCACTTGCCCAGGCTCCGAGAGTTCGCCATAGCTGTCATAGCGACAGAATGTGGCTGTTGCTAGCGGAAACGGGCTATCGATTTTGTCGGATTAAAGGGGGAGAACCCAGCCCTTTACCAGCTAGTGGCTCGAACGGCCTCGACGCCTTGGGCAAGCCAACGGTTCTACTCGGCAGCTTCTGCGCCAAGACCCCGCGACTTTCCCTGTCCATGAGCAGTCCGAAATTCTTCAATAAGGGTAGCGCCCTGCAGGTTCGATGACTTTGGTGTAGGGCTGCTGTGTTACGCTTTACGAGACAATTGCCCACGACACGGAGAGAGACTTGTGCCAGAATCTTGTTCCCGAAGTCCGCAAGAACCACGTTGAGACCAAAGTAGGCTGGTTTTCGTTCCGATGTTCCACAATGGGCGCCTTACCGACGCATTGGATACGAAGCGCTTCCCACTGATGGCGCTCATCGGTGCCACTTGGATAGTAAGAAAGCAGCCTGAGGTCCTGTGAATTGCCGGAGGCGCTTGATTCTTCAATGCGAGCGGGCTGGACAAGCAACGCTGAACCAAACGTATTCGGCGCCCCCAGCGGTACCGTTCGGCTTCTCCACGCATTGGACCGTAAGCGGGCCCTGCAGACTCCGCGTGCCGCAAGTCTCCGGCATCCCGATACGGGGATGGATTTCGGGCCCCACTCCGAATCATGTCTCCGATCCCAAACAATGGCTCCCTGGCCTGCGAACACCTAGCATCTCCCAGCCAAAGGCATGAACCCTCAGCAAGCGGGTAGAATGGCCGATGAAAGCCGCACGTTATGCCACAATGATGCGCCCAAGGATTCGGCATTGTTCCGGTTCATGACGTTGCAGCTTCGTTGTCTCGGTACTTTTGCTGGGTGGGTTGTATGAGACAAGCTTCGACGGCCATTTGCAACGTCTCCAGGCTTGGGTGTTGGGCGGCCCTGGAGCTTCGACTTGTGATTACCGAATTGAAGGAGAGAGCCCCGCCTCCAAAAGCATGCCTTGGTTTCCGGCGTTGCATTAGGCTTTCGGTTTTTATTCAGTTGAATCGTCCGATCAACGACTTTTTCCAACAACCTACTGCAAGGACATGAGCTATCCCGATGCGAATAGAGCCAGGAATGAGGGTGATGACGAAACATGTCCAGATCTAAAAGTTGGTTCGTCTGCATCTTGACGTGTAGTCGGGAATTTGGACCGCCCGGCTTGACAGGCCGAACTGGGCAAAACTTGGCAGATCTCGTCGACGTTGTCCATTGGCCGCACCATCACTGCTGCTCAATGTTCTTCTCCCTCGCCCATTCTGACGCTACATCTGGAGGGCTAGCTTGTTTCCCATTTGCCTCGATCAAATGCAACATGTGGGCTCGCGGGAAAGGGCCAGACCGCTGCGAGCGAGTCAATCAGCCCCCTTCCGCGCCTGGGGAAACCCTGAAAGATCCAGGGGAAACGGTTCAGCTGAGGAAAAGCGACATGGAAACAATTACCAACGCAAAGCGACTGACGGATGAAAAATGCCAGCTGAACAAGGAAAAAATCAATTATATCATCGACAGGACCGACCTTGCAGATGCGCGCTAGCCTGCCAATGATCGTCAGCAGCCGGGTCCTGGCCATCAAACCGAGACATGCTCGGCAACGCGTACACTGTCTCTTTTTCCAACGGCACCAAAACCGGATACAGCGGGTCGCCCCAGTCTCAAGTTAGAAGAGGGAATTCAATGTGCAACAGGAGGTCGAAATGTGGGCAATTCCAGGATCTCTCTAACGCGATATTCTGAAAATCCTCACGTCAGACAAGACGGGCTTGTCTTGACAGTTGTGCGTGCTACGTAAGGCTCTGGTAACTCTCAAGGTCTGCGTCTGGGCGCAGACTTAGGAACAAACGGATAAAACTCCTGCCAACTCTTGACCTTTGGCCGTTTGGAAGGTATCCCGGTTTCCTTCGTTTCCTTTTAGTCACGAACACCACCTTCAACGTCAACTTGGGAGGCCCCTGGGGTCTTCCCGTGCGTGCCGTAGAAAGCCCACCCAAGTGGATCCAGCAGCGATGGAACGACCCTGTCGCCGACCGATCCCGACCAACCGACTTCTCCATCCGCCCCCGCAAAGCCACACTGCAGCACCTGGCACCGTGGCCGTGCCGGCTTGCGAGTGGAGAAGCCGTTCCCCATCCGGCCCAATCACGCCGCCGCCTGCCCCTCCAAGACGTCTGACATCATAGCAAGCCCCACCAAGGGGAGCAGTCCCCTCCCTCCATCATCAGCCACAACCTTCCTCGTCATCGCCCGCAAACAGCGCCCCGTACCAAGACCTGACGCCCATCTTCCGTCACTGCCATTTGTCCGTCCAAACTGGCAGCTGCAAGGAAAAGAATTAAGTCTACTTTGGGGCCTCCGTCCAGACTAAAATACCGAGCCAAGAAGGAAAGAGAAAACCCCGGTCAAGCTATTCCTTGCCACGATCGACGCAGTAGCGGGATCGGCAGGCCGCAGACCCATCTCACACCACTACCGGCAGCGCGAGGGCATTGCCTTTCAAAGTATTAAGGGTCTGCTCTCCTCTCCTTCCCGGGCGTTCACACAAGCAGTCTGGCAGGTTTTTATCTTTTCACTTATTTCCACCAAACAACTTGCCCAGTACATAAGGGTGAATCGAGCACAAATATCAATACGTCGACTCGTCTCACCCGATCAAACAACCCGCATCATTAAGAGACAACAAACACCATCATCAACATGGCATTTGCCCTGAAATTCCTGCAGTGGTTCGTCCGAGGCGTACAATTCGGCTCCGCGGCCCTCATCCTCGCAATCTACTCGTACTTCCTCGCGACGCTGCATAATCACAGCCTGCCGATATCGAACAAGATCCGCGCCGTCGAGGGCATCTCCGGCTCCGCCACGCTGTACACCCTCATCGGCCTGCTCCTACTTTGTTGTCTCGCCGGCCACGCCTTCACCTCCTTCGTGGCCATCGTACTCGATGTCGCCTTCATCGCTGCCTTCATCTACGTTGCCGTCGCCAACAAGGACGGCGCCAACTCGTGCTCCGGCACCGTCAACACCCCCTTCGGCAATGGCCCCGCCGACGGCGAGCCCACGAACACTGGAAGCGATGGCTGGACTCATCTCCCCAGTCTGAGAACAGCCTGCAAGCTGCAGTCTGCCTGCTTGGCTGTCGCGATCGTCGCAATGTAAGTTCTCATCTCATTCCCGCCTGGAAAACCAAGTTCTAACGCTTCCCAGCATCTTCTTCATCGTCTCCATCCTCGTCGAGGTGGCCCTCGTGCGCCACAACCGCAAGGAGAGACGCTTCGGCCCTAGCCCCAAGAACAACTACACTTCGGGCTCCGGCGCCGGAGGTGGCTTCCTCAGCTCCTTCCGCCGTCGCGGACGCCAGAACACCGCCGCCAATGAGAACGCTCTCCCCGTCCACACAAGCCCCGACCAAGTCCGTAACAGCTACGCCACCGAGACTACTGCCGTTGCTCAGGACAGCGGATACCCCAAGTATGAGGGTGCCTATGGTAACACTGCGACCGCGACGAGTGGCGGCTACGACTATGGTCACGGTCACGAGAACGGTACCACCGCGCCTCCCGCGGGCTACCGTTATAACGACGGCACTTACGACAGAGTCTAAGTGATGGGTCGCATGTATTCTCCATCTGGGATGTGAGAGATGGAATGTAATGATTGAAAATAATGGAATGAACTCGGTCAAGGATGGAATTATACCCTGGGATGGAGGAGTCTTGGCATATCGTCTCAAGTACGACGAACGCCTTTTTGCTAGATTTGTTATCAAGAATCAATTCACATGATTGAAACATGAATGGTTCAAGTTGAACTTGAGCTTCGCATCTGAAGCATGTCATGTCTTCGTCGTAGTGGTCTTTGCGTAAACTTCATAATCTCTGTGTTCAGCCGTGGCTGATCTAGGTGATGCAGTGGGTTAACCGAGTGATCTAGCCGGTGCCTCGTAACCCGAACCGTTGCTTAACTAGCCAATTGTCGTGAGCGACCGTCGTCAGTACTCTAGACCCGACACTTGATCAGGTGTTAGCATTCATTGTCAAAGCTGCAGGTTAGGGCAGTCATGGCCATCCAGCCGCCTCGTGCTCCCACTCACTGTTTACGCCCTCGTCACTACCGACGTCCGCCCAGTTCATGTCTAGCTTCTCCAGCTCCCTCGTGAAAAAGTCCTGTTCCTCGCGAAGCGCAGCACGAAGCTCGATCGCGATCTTGTCCGGGTATCTGCGCACATTGAACCAATGCGTAAGACTACGCAGCGCCTGCTCCAAAGGAAGCGCCGAATCAACCTCGGCATCGACGTCGCTGCCGGCAAGCCACTCGTCCCGTAGCTCTGGTCGACAGTGCAGGTAGACTGCGGTGATGACTCGCATGTTGCTCTGCCGCCACTTACGGCCGCAGTATGGCACTTGGTTTTTGAATAGCTTCAAGGTGTAAAGTCGCAGCTCGGGTTGGGGAACCTTTAATGATTTGCGCAGGATGTTGGCCGACTTGTACTGTACCAAAAGAAGGTTCCTGTGAGCTTTGTGCTTGCAAATCTTTTGCATGATTCGCAAATAGTTGATGAGAGAGAAGAAGTTTCTTCTAGAAAAGTCGGTGATGGGTTCCGCTGGGAGATCATTTACGGGGTACCCGAGCTCATCCACTTCGGGTCGCACGGCAGCCTGGCCATCGGATTGGGAACCCTCGTCGCCTTGATGAGGTGCAGGCGCAGGCGGTCGAGGGGGCGACCGTCTTCTCTTAATAGGCGGCGGGGCCGCCTCGTCCTCGCTTTCCTCCTCCGGCTCAGGCTGAGCAGCCGGCTTGTCCTTATACTTCGAGCGCAGGTTGCAAAAGTGGAAAAAACTGCATGGTTAGCATAAACATATCAATGCGTGAAGGCATCCGTACCTATTCTCCAGCCGGTCGGTCTTACTATCGACGACTTGCTGTATGTCTTGGTGCGCGAACAGTTTCAGGACCAGCGGGAGGTAGTTCGAATCCAGCAGAAGTTGCGTCATGTACTCGAATTTGAGAACGTCTAGACGAAAGGTCAGTTTCTCTTCTCAGGCCTTGAAATAACTGCTTACGAGAAACTCTCAGCCATTTCAGCAACAGGAGCAGGATTCCGGTGATGGCCTTTGTTGTAATCTCCCGAGATCGAGAAGCGTCTACCTCCTCAGGAGACATCTCAGGAAGTTCAGGGGGGCCACCTGAAGCAGCAGCAGAAGAAGGATCTTGGGGCTGCTGTGGCCGGTTAGGCCCCGGACCGCCGTTGACCATGCCATTAGCGCCTCTGCCGGCCATACTCGGGTGTTGTTGCCCTGCGGCAGGCTGTGATAAAACGGCCGTAACATTCATAAGGATCGGCCTAAGGAGTACAATCACCAGCGACTGCAGATGGGGAAGGGATTCTTTCTGTAGACCAGTTAGTGATGATGCGACGAGAACGAGGGGTTCGGACTCACATAGAAGCTGTCGACGGCAAGCAGACGTCGTCTGACTTCATCGCTGACCTGTCCTGATGGTCCACAGTCGATTTCGGGTTCTTGGATCGTGAAGCCCGCCTCTCTGCGCTCCTCCGCCTTCGTCTCTGCCTTCATCGCAGCGATCTCTTGCTTCTCTTCGAGAGTCAAGCCCTCGAGGTCGAGATCCTCAACGTCACTGTCATTGTCATCTGCTTCCCACCCCCTTTCAAACTTGAGGAAGCTCTCGCGCTCTTCCCAGAGCTGTCGTGTGGCACGCGTCATGCGAACTCGCTTGGAGAACAGCTCGCCGGCTTCTAGAATCGAGGCGGGAATATCGCTGCCCTCCCATTTACGCCCGACGAGTTGTTCTTGCAGACCAGCGCCACCTTTGCCACCAGCACTATTGCTTGTGGCATCCAGAGGCGGGTACATGAACGGGAAGTTCTGGTTCGTCTGATAATTTTGCTTCTTACCGCCTTTACCTCCGACACCAGGTGATGGCGGCGGCGAGGGTGCGGGTGTCGCGATGTGTACGGGTTGATGCAGAATGGAGGCGCCGCTGCTTTGGGTATTTGTAGATCCGGGTACAATCCCAGTGGATGCGCTTGTCCTCGTGGGCTGATTTGGCAGAGGCGGGAGTAAGGTTGTGTTCTCCGGTTCCAGGGGAATGAGCGTCCGTGGTGGGACGTAGGCGGGATACTTGGACGTCAGCTCCTGTCGAAACACATGGTAGTCGAGGGGCGATGCGGTGATAATGTCCTTGGACTTTGCGTTGGGGGATTCGGTCGTCGCCTTTTTGGCCTCATCGATCTCCCGGGTGCCACCCAAGACCAAGAGAATGGACTTCCAGTAGAGCAAGAAAATCTAGGAAAATTAGACCATGCCTCAGTGGGGTGGGGGGAGGGGCTCGTCCATACCTGACTGGAGGGCATCATATTTTGGTCGTCCCAACGAAGCTTGGATGTTGCTATAGACATGAAATCGACTAGTCCTGGCTTCAGGGAGACTTCCAAGGGTTAGCTATAGGACATGGCCAGGCTTGGTGAGATATGCTTACGAAGGTTGGTCCTGGTGGATTCCAGCTCCTTAGGAAAGCTCAGAGCTTCCTGAACAATGACATACATGATGGTCATCAGGTTGATGAGCTCGTCCTGAGCTTCTTGGGCACCCCCAGGCTGAACCAATCGTGGGTCATCGGACCTAGCGAGGTTAGGTAAATGTCGGGAGAACGGGTTATTGGGCATACCAAAAGACGTCAAAGCAGTTTTGAACTGCCTCCCAAACGGTAGCAATGCCGTTTAGAGATGTGAGGAAAGTTATGCTCGATCTAATGGCCTCGAGTTGGGGGGAGCTCGCAGCAGACCTCCCATCGCCTATTGTAGCAGGCGTTGAAGTATCGCCCCATCTTCCCAGCACCAAATATAGAAGCTTTCCAATTGATGCTGATCGTTGGGCGGGTTCTCTGACCTGGAGACCCCCGAGGGCGTCCCGGGTAAACTTTGCCCTCGTTTCGTAGTCCGTCTCCTCCCAACTTGTCTGGATATCGTACTCGTGCTGCCACTGCCATTCGAACGCACGTTGCGCGGCGTTAAGACGCACCCATTGCCAAAATTGATAGACGAACCACTCGTCAATCTCCTCGTCGTGGGATCCCATGTCGCTGTAGACGAAGTCATAGGCGACAGGTTCGCCCCGGCTGAACTCGGCTACTATGCGTCTCAGCTGCAGCAGAGAGAGCGAGTCGGTGGGCTGGGGTTGATCGGTGGGCGCAGGAGGCATCGGCGCAGGAGGAACCGGGGCGGGCACGGGGGCAGGCGTAGGCGCAGACGAGTTTCTCTGCAACATTGGCCTGGAGGGCGGTGGAGGAGGTGGATTCGCCGACTCGGCGATTGGGCCAACATCTGCAACAACAGCATCTGCAACATCGCCAGTCGGATTCGGAGGCGGAGGGGGCTGCTTCGCGGGGCCGGCGCCGTCGTTGGCGGCCCCGCGCGAGGACCAGAGTGAGTTCATCCTGACGGGAACGAAGCTATTTCGAGAGGTGTATCATGCTCTAGCTGGAATACTAAAGATGAAGAGCTATGATGTGGATGGAGTTCGGTGGCGTTGGTTGTTAATCGATCAACATTTGGCGACAACGCGTCGGGAACGTAGTTAATCGCGTAAAAGGGTGGGAGCTCATGGTTGAGCTTGGAAAGGAGGTCGACAGCGACGTGGTAAAGAAGCAGCCTCGAGCGGGATGCAGTTTGCAATGCAGCTTGTGATTGGCTGTGGCGCAAATCCTTGAGGTGGTTTGGCGGGGTGTGTGTGGGTGGAACAGCAATTGGGTCCCCGTCAGCCTTTCATCGTGGATCAACAGCGCTGTGAGTCCCCTACGCAGTAGAACGGAGAAGCTTGGGCCACGCGCATGTCTTATCTGGGCTGTTATCAGTTCAACCCCTCTCTCGTGCTGTTTACCTACATCTACACAGAGGGCTGGCGTTCTGCGGGTGCATTTGAAGTCAGCGGTTGCTCTGGCCTTAAATCACCTTGGGCGTAATGCGGCTAGAGACGGGCAGTAGGGATAGGCTTTTCCTGCCTTCCTGCCATACCACAATGGCTAAAAGGGAATTGTGCGGCTCGAAATCTAAGTTACACTGCTCGACATCGTGGAGTGATCATCTCATGTTTGGAACTGCGCAAGAGCATCACCCGATGTTGGCTTGCGCCGATCCAACGATTAGCTCGTGTTAAGGACCAGATAGTGAGCTTTGGACAAGAGATTTCGCGTCATGCGGACATCCGCCGAGCCAATGCAACCAACGCAGGGCGGCTTCTTGCCTGGGCTGCTCATCACAAGCCACGAGGTGCGTCCCTACATGCTCTGAGGTAGGTTCAGCTCCTATTGCCTAAAGAGACAGAGCAGCGCGAAGATGCCATTGTCTTCCATACCTTCCTTACCTTGGGAACCGAAGGCCCACACCCGCGGATGGAAGGTTCTGTGGCCCTTCGGTGAATGAGTCCGTCCTGCATTGAGTTGCATCCAGTGTCCCGAGTTGCTTCGGCGCTCCACGCACTTGCAGCTGGCCGCTGGCGAACAGCGCAGCTGCACGACGTCAGCGTAGGGCAAGCCACGCCCGGTGAATGGACCACTGACCAGTAACCAACTCTTCGGCGGTCGGTGTCGAGTGGGCAGCCTGCCCGGCCCACCCACCTCAGCCAATCAACCTAAGGTACCTAATCAGTACATTAAGTTGCCCAGGCGTGTCCAGTGAATAAGCACCCAAATGCCGCAATCATCAATTCACTAACAAGAAGGCCCCGCCGTGTCATTCCAGAAGCTGAAGCTACCCGGGCACAAAGTTCAACTTCCCGCTTCCCAGCTGACGACTTCGCCAACCCGCTAGCTTATCCTCCAAGTCACAACCACTCAAGCTCTCTTGCCTTCACCGCGGCATTTCCATAGCCTGGAAATCCTGGTTACCGTCCTTCGCGCATCGGATTCCTCTACGCCGCTACCTTACCTCAGGGCCTCTGATTACGAAAGCCGCAGTAATAAGCCCTGTCGCGACGATAGCCCGCCTGGCTGAGGATGCAATCGCCTCAGTGAACTCACATAAACTTTCGACCTGCCTTTACCTCAATCTGGTATACACCGATTTTTAATCAGCCTTTTGTCAGCTTTGGGGATTCCCAACCTGGCATCCACGGCGTTCGCGGACCCCTAAACGCGACTGAACTACCCCGCGCCTCGCGGCACTTCCGATTTTGCAGCACTTCATTCATCAGCGGCGCTCCTATACAAGATGGGAGCAGGAAATGTCATGGAAGAGAAGGCTGAGAAGCGTGTCGGCTTTGAGAAGGATGACGATGCTCATTCGAGTGGAAGCGACGACGATTACCAAAGAGCAGTAGAGGTACGTCCATGTGAAACACCCGTCTAAGAGGGGTACTGATTCGGCGATAATGTCCAGGTCACCTTTGATCCGGGAAATCCGTATCGCCGCAAGAGCTCTCTGGTCACTTCTGAGGTCTCTCGCCCGTTGCCGCGTCATCCAAGCAAGAGAACTGAGTGCATCGTGCATCAGTTTCTCGAGAGTCAGAGGAAAGCTCGCGATGCGCACGCATCTGCAAGCAATCACGGCTCAAGATCCAACTCAGTCTCCAGCACCACCAAATCCGGCTCTGAACACCATTTCCATCACGGCCACCCAATCTATGAAAATCCTCATCGGCAGGCAGGCGCCAAGGACGTATCCGGCGAAACGGGCATGTCCAAAACGGTCGAACCAAAGGGCCGCGTTGCGAAGCACAGAGCCGCAATCCTTGCCTCGGACAGTCCGGAGGGTAGTGACGTAGGCCAGATTGACGAGAAATCTTGGCGCACTGAAATCATCAAATCGCCCTCTCAAATAGACCTGGCGCAGTCTGACAACGACGATGAGCTCCATAGCCGGCTTCTGACCAAAAAGCAGCTCAGTGAGATGGCATGGGGGGTGCGCGAGCTAAGCCGGAGATTGAGCAGCATGCGCATCAGATTCCGTGTCAAGACCATCTTTGTCTTGACCAAGATCCACGACCCGGACTTGATCATTCGCACCAGGGAACTGGTCAAGTGGCTGCTGTCTCATGAGCGAGACATTGACTATACGGTATACGTGGGAGAAAACTTCAAGGAAAGCAAGAAATTCAACGCTCCGGGGCTTGTCGAGGAGCTGAAGAAAGAGCACGTTGAGGCTGGACGAATGAAAGTTGATGACAGCGATGAAGTCCTGTCGAAAAGACTGAGATACTGGAACGAGGACATGTGCCGGAACAGGCCGCACATGTTCGACTTCGTCATCACCCTAGGAGGCGATGGCACTGTCCTCTACGTCAGCTGGCTCTTCCAGCGCATCGTCCCACCGGTCCTCAGCTTCTCACTCGGCAGTCTCGGGTTCCTCACCAAGTTCGACTTTGAGGATCACAAGTCGATTCTGACCAATGCTTTCAACAAAGGCGTCACAGTCAGTCTACGCCTACGATTTGAGGGGACCATCATGCGAAGCCAGAGAAGAAAGCAATTGCAGCTGGCCGACGGCGAGGAGAGCTCCAGTCAAGAGGAGGACTTTCGTAACCTCGATCTCGTTGAGGAGCTAATTGGTGAGGAGAGGGAAGATGAGCATACTCACGTCCCAGACGGAACATTTGAGATATTGAATGAAATCGTGGTGGATCGCGGCCCAAACCCAAGTAAGTCTTGCTGGGGCCCCCTTTCTTGCCACTCGAACCCGGTTCGCTGACAATATAACCCAATAGCAATGTCATACACTGAAATCTTCGGTGACGACGAACACTTCACTTCCGTCTTGGCAGATGGCATCTGCGTTTCGACCCCAACCGGTTCGACCGCCTACAACCTGGCGGCCGGCGGCTCTCTCTGCCACCCGGAGAACCCCGTCATGCTCGTAACGTCAATCTGCCCCCATACACTCTCTTTCCGCCCCATCATACTCCCAGACACGATTGTGCTGCGAGTGGGCGTCCCATACGATGCAAGAACCAACTCGTGGGCCAGCTTTGACGGCCGCGAGCGCATGGAACTTTACCCCGGCGACTATGTCACGATAAGCGCCAGTCGGTACCCCTTTGCGAGCGTCCAGGCCCAAGGCCGCCGCAGCGAGGACTGGGTGAACAGCATCAGCGGGAAGTTGGGATGGAACACGCGGCAGAAGCAGAAGGCTTACAAGGAATGGGATAGGTAGTCTCGTAATCCAACGGCACAACTTCGCTTACTTTGCTGCGAAGAAGACCTGAAGAAAAATCAAAGAAAGAGAAAAAAGAGTTCCACAACGCACCGAGTCAAAAACGTAAACAAGGGTTCGGGAAGACGGCCTCCCGAACGCTTGTCTGTGTGTCGTTTCTGTCAAAACATGGTGATCTTCCATCGTGGTCACGCGTCTACACAAGGCAATTAGACGCTTGACACATTTCAAATCATCCCTCCAGTGCCGCGTGGCAGCCAGGCAGAAAGCCCTCCCTCTCGCACACCCTCTTCAGCCTGGCAAGTTGCGTGGTGTCTAAACGCCAAGCTCCTCTCTCAGGAACCCCGACGACGAACCTTCTCAGCCCTCAGCAACACGGCCACGGAACTCTTGGCGTCCATGTGTGTGCACTGGCAAGCTAACCTAGCTCGCGGGAGAAGCATCTCTGTCTCTTCCTCTCGAGCAATTGAGCAAGGTGAAATCGCGAGCGACAAATCAAGACACGCAGCAGGTCTTGGCAGTCTGGCCTGATGATGCCTCTCGGAATCGTATCCGGGCGAGATTCACGACTCCATGGCATCTTCGCAATCATCGCGCACACTACCGTTCCACAAGAGCACATGGGGATACCGCCAGCCCTAGAGAGACTCGTGATGATCCCCTCCAAGGCAGTCGATAAGTAACGCAGGAGCAGTAGCAGAGTAGTATCCCGGTGGGGGAGGATACTCTCAGCATTCACGCAACCCGCGGACTCGAAAAAGGGCCCTCCCTGTCTTCCTTCTCTCCCCTTGGGAACCACCGCCGTCAAAGCAGGGCTGACCACCCACCTGATTCAACGGCCCAGGTACAACAGCAGATGTCCACGACGCAAGAAGACAGCCAGATGGGAACCCGACAGGCTCAAACACCCACAACGAGAGGAGCCCTACCGCAAACAAGGACAACCCGCCAGCAACGAAAGAGAGACTCCAAAGACGCATCCATTTCCCGCTTCCGCTCGATGGTTGCAAACGCTCTGTCTTGCTCCCCTCCCTCCCACACTCCCGAAGAACCAGGATCTCCCCAGTGCAGTCTCCAACCATGCAGGTAGAAACGCACCATTTCTTCCATTGGCCGACAGCATCGACACCCCTGAGCCGGTGCGGGGGTCATCCCCCCTCCCCAATGCCCAACCCTCCCCTGCCCCCTGCCCCCTGGCCGCCCGTGACAAGCCAAACAGGATTGAGGCTCTAGGGGTATGTGACGATGCTGCGACGTCCGAAGGGGAAAAGGCAGAGGACGGTCCGATGTTTTGGTTGTACAAAAAATAGCCGTCTCGATCATGCATCTTGGTCTACACGACGACTCGGAACCGATCATCATACGCCCATCGCGGAATTTTTGGTTTTTGAGGGTTTTTCTGTCTTTGCGGTTTACCGATTTCACTTGTCTCTTTCTCGTCTGTGTTTTTCTGTCAGTCTCAATTTTCCTCGAGGGTTTAATCCACGGCCCGGAGCTCATTTTCATGCAGACATTAGGAAAACAACCACGCGAGTGTGTGAACCGGTTGAATTGTCGCTTTGGACGAAACCGCCTAGTCATGGCTCCTGTACAGAGTTCGATAATGAATGCAATGCATGAATAAATGATCAGTCTTGAATCGCTTGCAATGTTGACAGATATCGCAAATAATATCGCAAGTAATAAGTTGCTAGTATTGATTGCTGTGACTGGCTAGGCTTTTGCTGTGGCAGGCGAACAAGTGGGAGGTATTTTACTTCGCAAACTTTGGTGCACTCTCTCAACTCCATGCAGGGACAACAAAATTCAAAAAAGGGTAAAATGTTTTGATATACGCCGCATGCTTAGGGAATTTGTCTAATAATTTCAACCACCCGTACAGCCCATACACAGTCCACCACCCGGTTCCCATAGGACAATTGATATCATGACAGTTAGAACAAGAAAAGAAAGAGATTGACCCGTCACTCAGCGAGGGAGGTCTCGACACATGAGGGATTAGGGCTGAGGCCGGGGAGGGAATCGTTGGTTGAAGAGAGGCATCGTGTGTGTGGTGGACTCTCTTTTTTCAATTTTTTGTTGTCTTTCGTCCACACATTTTTTTTCAGGGGGTATGATTCCACACAGAGTACATTTACTGCTGCTCATCCTCAGCCTCGCTCTCGACGAAAGTCATGGTGACACCCTCGCCGCTGACGTTCAAGTTGACGGTGTCGATAGCGCCGCCTGAGCCACGCTTAGACAGATCCTCCTCGGCGCGCTTGACAATCTCGTTGTTGGCGGACATAACCTGGCGGGCAACGGGGGTACCGGCGGGCATGGGGTCACGAGCGACAAGCTTCTCAGGGGTCATTTCGACGCCTGCAAAAATCATCAGTTTCCAGTCTCTTGCTATCTCGTAGTTGAGTTGAACTTACCAGCAGGAACGCCGGAGCGGACGTACATAGTGGTGACCTTGGCGCGGCGACGGGGAGGCTGCTGGGGTTCCTCAGCGCGAGCCTTGACCTTCTGCTGGGCAACGATGACAGGGGCAGCAGCGGGAGCGGCAGCCTCACCGGCGGCACCACCGGCAGCTCCGCCAGCAGCTCCGCCAGCAGCACCGCCAGCAGCGGCACCGCCCTCAGCTCCACCCTTACCGGGACGAGCGGCGGCCTGCTGGTTGTTGTCGACGATCATACCAACACCAGAGCCACCCTCGCCGGTGCCGAGCTGGATCTTGGGTCCCTTAACAAGGGCGGCCTCGGCGAACTTGAGGGCGCGGTCGAAGCCGGCGAGGTCTCGCTTCTGCTGAGCCGGGGCGCGGGCCTTGGTGAGCGAGACACGGGGAGCGATCTCCTTGCCCATGCCCTGAAGGGCGGCGATGGCCTGAGCCTGTGGTTGGGCGCATATGTTAGCTGATATTGGTCCGATGAGGTACAGACGTCTGTGTGTATCCCGCACACACAGACACCACAACCAAAAACTCTAGTGAGTAGTACTAACCTCGTCGATGCTGTTGCTCTCTGAAGTAGCAGTAACGGGGGTCGCACCACCAACGGAAGCAGCAGCAGGAGCAGCGGGTGCTGCGGGCTTGGGCTGCTGCTGTGCGGGAGCGTTGGTGGCGGGGGCAGCGGGAGCGGCGGCGGGAGCGTTCGCAACACCTTGAGCAGCATTAACTGCCGCGCCCTCCAGCACGTTCATCAACTGGGAGACATCGTTTCTACCGCCGAATGAAATTTCACCATCACCCACCACCAAGGCAGGAGAATAAGCGCCCAAGTTGATGTTCAAGGGCAAAGCGTTCAGCTGGGCGGCAAGGCCGGCAACAGCAAAGACGTAACGGTTAACCATTTTGTCGAGTAGATCGGGTAATCGGTATCTCTTGAGTGTGATTCGGATTGAGCGGCTCTGGGGAAGGAGTGATGATCGTCCGTGGGAAAGGGGGGGGGGGGTTGGTTGAAACTAAGTAATAGGCGTATAAAAAAAGAGACACGACCAGCGGAAGAGAAGAGAATAAAGCTTTTGGACCTTGAAAAGGAAAGAAGAGAACCGAGAAGTGAGAGTATACCAGTCGAGCGCAGCTGAAGAAGAAGTAGAAGAAATCATGTAAGAGAGGCAAGAGATTTAGACTTCATATATTTCCCCACGAGCCAAGCTTGACGGGTTGAGACGTGCAGACCGGCCACATGCTTGAGACACTACTGCCAAGATGCCAAGAGATAGAGTACCGTCGAAAGCCTCAAGTCGGTCGTGGGCCCTCAGACATTAGCAGACGGGGCTACTTTCCGGGGTACGACTTTCGTTGATCGAGTCGGTACGGAGGCGCAGGGATTGCCGTCGTCGTCGGCTTGGTGGGATTGCCCAGCTGGAAAGCTCCGAGCAGTGCCAAGGGATGGAGGACTTGTCGACGGCTTCGTTGGAGCAGCGGGACTGTCGACATGCTCGTTGTGAGGCCCAAGCAGCAAGCGAAGCAGTCGAGGCATGAAACGCAGGTGACACCAGAGGCATGCTGCGGGCCAATTGGGCATCTGAGGTCGGGATATCCATCTGGACTGTGCCTGTAGAAGAGGGTCAGATGTGAGGGCGATTCGAGACCATGCTTGAGGGAGAGACCTGACTAGAGGGTCTTGGCATCGTCGCCGCGTCTCTATGCGATGGCCGAGAGATGTTAGGTAGGATGCCAATTTTGGCCCAGAGATCCACGCTCTGATGTGGTCGGGACCAGGGACAGGGGCAGGCCCCCCCGGTAGGACGCGCAGTGAAGATCCGACTCGACACTCTGGAGGTGGATTTGATGATCAAGGGACGCGGTACTTCCAGTGTGGGTCAGTCGCTCTTGAGACCATGCCAAGAGGTTCTGCGATGGAAAGATGGGACGTGCACAGCGTCGATATTGTCCTACCTTTCTTAATTCCCCTTGTCCTGTTGCTGTGATGGGACGAAGTGGCGGACAGGCGGGGGATTTGGGAGGGAAAAGCAAGAAAAAAAGGCTCATGAGCGTCGTGGACTTGCATATACTGGGCGCCAAGGGGGCGGATTCGCCTCTTGGCACTTGGCGGGACGCCGTGCGGCCGGTGTCGTCTTCTGGCGAGGGGTGCAACGAAGGCATTCAAGCCAAGAGCCAAGCAATACAAGAGATCTGGCCCCGGTATTGACGTCGTCGGATGCTGCGGCGAATGGAGCACCAAGCCCGCCAAGGGCAATCACCCATTGACGGAGGTGCAATTCCTAGGACCGCGGGAAGAGATCGATTCAAGCAAAGGTGAGGCGGCTGAAAGTAAGTCCATACACACGGGCAACGGCAACGGCAAGGCCAGTAAACAACGGCAGCGGGCTCAACCGAATGAATCGTTTCTCTAGGCGGCGGCGAGTCGTGGCTTACACGCTTTCGCCCGGTGCCGGGATGGCGTCCCTCTCGAATGTTTCCCGAATTCTGGGTCGCGGTAGCTGGAAAGGCGGCTACTGGACAACGGGTGGGCAAACGCATGAAAGCCGTGCCCCGATGGTTTGCCAATTGTCAAGTGTCAGGAGGAGACTCGAGAACCCCGTGGGACGGTCGATGTAGGGTAGGTAAGGGTCCAACATCCAATCCCATTGTGTGTAACACTGCCTTGGGCCGAAAAGGGCTGGGATGGTAATGCAGAGAGGCCGGACGAGTTCGACGTTAGTCTGTGTAGAGGCAGCAGAAGCTAGCCTCTGCTGAGTAAAAAGCTGTGGTGCGGTGCGGGTGCAGATTCTTTTTGGTGCGACAACCTCCCACACTTCCGCCGGTGTCTGAGACCTCGGAACTGCGTGATAGTCGCCATTGTACTGCGTAGCATTCCGCTGACTGCTGTTCGGGGCCTCGTCCAGTAGCCAATTTTAGCAGCACCAGCCGTCCACTTCAGACCAGAGCAGCCGCAGCCAGGCTCCAGCCCCTCGGTGATGCTAAACAGCAATAAGTCTGTTTTGCGGTCCCGTCCCACGGCCCTGAAGGCTCGAATTAGCTTTTGTCCCCGTGATACGACGTGTTCGTAGAGTCCCTCAATGCATTAGATGCTGCAGGACATGATCTGCCTGACGGGAGGCGAACTGCACGATGCACGTGCCTGACACGTCTGGTTTATTTTTCTGGCCATGATTCTTGGAGATGCCAGGGACCAGCCTGAAGTCTGTCGAACTCAATGGGAGGATGGTCGAATCGGGGTGTGTCGACTGCAGATGCCGTGGCCGGGAGTGGCCTTTGATGCGTTTGGACACTCTTGTGATCCAAGATTCAGGAGAGAGAAAATTTTGCAGCCACAACAAGCTCGCATCCAGGGGCAAGAAGGGTGAGGCAGGTGTGTGTACTGTAGCGTCAAGGGAGCATCGTGTCGGGGCTGCAGTGGAAGGCTCTAAACCACTTTAGCTATTCCATGCTGGTTCTGAGGCTCTTGGCATTGGACACCTGCGGTGTAGTGCAGGATCAGGAACCAGCGAATTGAGTTGCAAGCTTCCGCAGTCGGTGATGTCTTCCCGCTGAAACTCTGTCGGTACCTGCTTCTGTGCCTGACTTGTTTGACCTGTCGGCTAACGCAACTTGGAAGTTGGGCAATCACGTAGCTCCCTCCCGCGACACCATCTCGATTTGCGGCATTTCGTGCTTTCCATGACTTGATTCGACGCGGCTAGAGTTGGCCTGAATTAGGTTGGCGAGCCGAAAGGCAAAGTGGTTGACGACATGTCTAGGGCGCCGTCTGTGATCGACTGTCATGTCGCTGAAGTGCGCCATGTGGTTTAGTAGTGTGCGAGTGGGCTTGCCGCGGCGTCGTAGGAAAAGCTTCGTCCGGAACAGACGGCGGGATGGATGGTCTTGGAGAGTCTTGGTGAAGCTTAGTCGTGTGCTTAGTGACAGTGGTGAGTCTTGGAAGCCGTTGTCACTTGGGCAGGGCTGCCAATCAAGCAGCCCGTAGTGTCGCTGCACAGATAATTCGTAGCAGCGGGCAATTGCAGGCGATTTCCCCAGCGGCCGGCCCCATTCGCGTGCCTGCCTTGCGTTGCAATTCCTCCGTCTGGGGAAGCTGTTTCCCTCGCCTATTGGGCCCTGACCGCCCCGGCCACTTTAACCTGCTGAACAAGATTTTACCAAGACCATCCATCGGCGCTCTTGGCTGCGTTAACCTCTTGTCATTCAACCACTCAGTTCTGGGGGCCAAAATAACAACGTCCAAAACTTCGTCGGATTATTTGTTTCGAGACTTAATCAACCACAAGCTTACTTTTACCACCTTGCTTTCCAATTCTTGGCTCGACGCGGCTTGGCCCAGAGTTGCACTCACTATCAAACCCCTGACCGTCGTGTTGGAGGCCCCATGCACGCACAACCTCACCTGCAACAACCGCCGTCGACAAATGTTGCCGTTTAGAACTGCCGGCCGGGGATGGAAGAAAGTGAATGGGTCTCGCTAGAGACGATCGAAGACGCTGTGACGGGGGCTACAGTACCAGTTCCCTGTGCCACTTACCGCCCACCCAATACCACTCACAACCCAACGCGGTACACCCGACAATGGTGGGCGGCCAAGAACGAACTGCTCGCCGTTTTGTCTTGGACCCCAGGCCCATTGGACTGTCACACGGACGAGAACCACTGAACCAGAGTGGCGGTCGTCTCCAAGGGTTGCAATTCTGCTCCTTTGCCGATATTGCTCACGCTCCATCCGCTGCGATTGCGCAAGGCCTCGCCCCTTCAGACGGACGCGCACAATCATTGCTCACTCAAGCTTCTGTCATCCAAGCCCACAAGGCCCACAAGTCTACATCGCTCGCCCCGTCAACGCAACGCACCAAAAATGCGACTCTTTGCGGCGCTGTTCAGGCCAAGCCAAGCCGGCACGGCGGCATCAGAATACAACTTCAAGGTGACAATGGCAGGAACATGTCATACTGTTGGCTGATCGGTCGCTATTGCTTCGACTTTCATGTCTATAGCACAAGTGCCAAAGTCGAGACCAGCAACAACACCAGGCCGCGTATTCTCTTCGACTTTTCGTCGCATATCCTCGCTCAGTTCCCAAAATAACTCTCGCGGGTGATCTGAGACGTTCACGAACCTCCAGCGCCAATACGTTGAACCGTTCGACGAACGGGTCTCTGCTCTCTCTTCGGCGCCTCCTTCCATTCATGCAGTTTCTCGGTATCTCCCTTGGGTTTGCCTCGAGCCTTGTGCCTCGGCAGCCCAATTATTCGGACGCAGTTGCGGAATTCTGAGAGCAGCTTCTAAAAAAAGGAGGCTTCCCGCCGACTTACTAAGGATCACCAGGCATCATCGGCCCAGGGACTGTCCTGCAGCACAGAGTTTGACCAAGATGGATACATCCGCCGTTTGTTAACCACCACCGCCGTCCCTTATTTTTGTTTCTATTTCCTGGGCACAAATGGACATGGCCAGCTGGACTAAACAGGCTGGAGACTGGAGGTGGCTGGGCTGAAGTGGTGGTGATCAGGAGCCAGGCGCTGTGGGCTCCGTCCCCAAACGCACCCAAAACATGGAAACATCGCGGGACTACTCTCTGGCACTTGCTCATCGCTTATCGCACACGCCAAGGCTATTCCTCAGACGCGCCCTGCAATCCAGCCGGTGTCCGAATGGAGTCGAGACTGACAGTGAGGGCATCGCGGGCTGGGAGTCCTGGACCTTCTGCCGCCCCCCTCAATAATCGCTTCCTGACTCGTCTTGGTCGTGTGTTTCCGACCAGCAGAGCTGTCATCTGCCTGCATGCAAGTATGCAAGTCTGCGACCACTAGCGCTGCAATAACGCCGATGGAATATTCCAACAAACCATCAGTCTCGACACTAGGCAGTCTTGGCGCCGCAACAGTCGCCCCAAACG